CCCGCCCCGCCCCCCCCCCCCCCCCCCCCCCCCCCCCCCCCCCCCCCCCCCCCCCCCCCCCCCCCCCCCCCCCCCCCCTCTTTCATATTCTCCTGAGCCGGAACCCCTTCAGCTGTGATGAGGCTCTATCTGTCTTATATGGATACGGACAGGTTATGTCGAATTACTAACACGGCCTCGTCGTACACTTATTATCAATATGACATATTTATTTTTTATATATACCGTATATAAATCAACAATTCTTGTATAACCCTTCTGCCACATGGGTAGGTGCACATGGGTAAGTAAAGTTGCAGTTTTATTTCGGGATTTTTCTCCTACTAGCGTCTTAGGTTATAGGTAACAATGGCAGAGTCTAGATCGTAGCTTTGAGTCCGTTATTTGAACAATAAAGATCCCCCTAAGAAATCCCGTAATATCCCCAGGACCCGCCCCCTTAGCTGCAGTCTTTGTAAGGGATAGGCCCGAGATACCCGAAGCTAAGCTTTGCCTATCAGATATCAAGTGTGCAACCGATATGGATAGGTACCTACCTTCAATCGACTGTGTAACACCGAACCGCTCCCCTGGGAGACCAATTCCAGCTATTGTTCATAGCGTCTTTTCTCATGTCCTTGTGCTCTTGTTAAGACTTGATCGTAGGATTTGTCTCGGTGTCGAATTTCCTCTTCATAAAATTGGATATATTCTATAACACTGACCATAACCAGGCATCCTTGTATGTCGACCTTGTTTGTGTCAATCCTACAGCTTCGTTTAAACCACTTCTTAGGTAATTGTGAATACGTTTTGCCTAAACATGAGCAAGTAAATGTTAGTTTAAGGGGTAAAATAGCAACAAGCAATTAGGTAGTGTCTCACCTGCCAATTAGATCCTTCCTCTCCTCTTCATCCTCTTCGTGATGGTTGAGAACTATTTGCTAGTAACAATTGAGTAATTAAAACAAACTAAGAGCACATTACGTCCCATATAGACGACAGCTGGGTTATGATAATATCTGTGCTTAATAATTACGAAGTGTTACGAGTTCTTCTCCGTGGGGAACGATGAAATCAGATATTTTTGTCATAATTTGTACCACTTCAGTACGCAACTAATCCCGAGGGGGTTAAGCCTAACAGTGAATTGCCTAGCTTTTAGATGTGGTTATTAATAGTATATCACGATCGAGTGTAAAGCTTGATCTACTAATGGCAATTTAGATTATGTAAGTCTCGTATTCTTACTATTCATCGGAGATTGCCGGTTATAGGAGTAGTGCTTATTGCTCGTGTAGCTTGAACCCTACGGTTTGAAATATCATAAGCTATCTCATTGGATGTTTCAACTTTCTCGACTTGTGAGGGGGGTTAAGCCTGTGAGAAATCTTGGCAACTCCTCGTGTAATGGAAAGGAGGGATATCGTCAAGTTAGAAATAGAGGGATCAGCATTTGTTTGCTACCAATCAAATCCCGGGGTACCTAACAGATTAGAAAACCAAAAAAAAAAAAAAAAGGAAAAGAAAAAAAAAAAAGCCAGGTGTATTATTCCTCGACTTCCAACCCAAATTTTGTTCTTCTAACTAATGCCTTCAAACACCGGTACTGCTTATTGCCCTGTGATCGATCCGGCCGGGTAATAAATTCAAGGCCCTACATCATATTCTATTTCTTTTCCTTTGTTGTAGTTGCTCTAGGTGACAAATCGGCTAGGTTAGATACAAAGGTGTACGTGATCATTTACACGTGGCCCCCCAAATCATTTGTCTCCTGGAGGAAGTATGGATCTCGTTAAAATTGATGCTAAGGGTTTCATAAGTCATTTGACTGGTAAGAATAATAGATTGGGCCAACGAATCCGATGATATTTGATAAACAGTTCATTAGAGAGGAATCTATCTAAGTATTTAGAGATATCCATACCGACGACGCCTAGCACCCTCAAGTAATCCGAATGCAGACTAAATGAAATATATACAGTATGAACAGCGCTTGCCCTGGGACAACTCTCATCGGGCCTCTACAGCTTGCCTTCTCAACTATCAAGTAAGACATCTACTGATCTCCGGTGCCGAAGACTTCGAGATGTATCCGCTCTGGGCTTACTCCAGCACCAACTAGATACTTTTCTGTATCTTTCATGAACGGGTAAGGACCACAGATGAAGTACTCGGCGCGTGCGTCATCGAGGAACAGGTTAGACTTGGGGTCAACCTTGCCGAGGTCTACTCTCCCAGCGAAGTGGTAGTCAACTCCTTCAACATCGCGCTGTTGGGGTGATGTAACAAAGAACGTTGCCTTGATGTTATTGTTAACATCCTTGGCGCACGTGTCTCGGATATGATCGTTAAACGCGCGGACCTCAGAGCTATGTACACCGTGTATCCACGAGATGCGCCGGCGGGATCCCGCGTTTACGGCACTGTTGAGAATAGACAGCATAGGCGTAAGGCCAACGCCCGCAGAGATAAGAGCGATAGGTTTGCTCTCATCTTCCTTGGGGTCAACGAAAAACTCCCCAGCAGGCGCCGTAAGCTCGAGAACGTCACCCTCTTTGTAGTTTTCATGCAGTAGATTGGAGATTAATCCCGGAACGCCAGTCTGGTTGCCCTTATCTTTCTTCACGCTGATGCGGTAGTAATCGGTACGTGGTGCTTCGCTTAGCGAGTATTGCCTGGGTTGCATGTGACCCATTTGAGGAATGAATACTTGAAGGCTAATGTATTGTCCCGGCAGAAACGACGGGAGTGGCTGTCCGTCTTCGGGTACGAGATAAAAACTGGTAATCTCGGATGTCTCTGGTACCTTGCGTTGGATCTTGAAGCGGCGCCAGCCCTGCCAGTTTTGGTGGGCGGCATACAGCTGCTTTTCCCTATTGATGAAAATATCGGCCAATGCACCGTAGGCGGCGGTCCAGGCCTCGGCGATTTCAGGAGTGCAAGCATCACCTAGTACGGCGGCTACGGCCTCGATCAAATGTTTTCCTACAATAGGGTATTGGTCGGCCTGGACGTTAAGACTCTCGTGCTTGTGTGCGATACGCTCTACGAGAGCTTTCAGCTGGCCGAGATCGTCAACGTAGGTGGCATAGGCAAAAACGGCGCCGGCTAGAGCTCGCGGTTGAGCCCCGCTACTTTGATTAGACATGCTAAATACGTTCTTGAGCTCCGGATGAGCAGCGATCAGATTATTGTAGAAGAGCGTCGTAATCGCCGTGCCGTGTTCCTTCAAAACCGGAGCAGTCGCCTTAACGATGGCGATATGCTCTGGAGAGATGGGCGCAGCGACAGCCATCTTGGATGTTGACGGATGTGATATGGATGGAATGGTTAAGTGGCAATTCTCTATAAGTTTTAATAGAAGAAAGAGAGAGAGGCGATTATGTTGCTATGGAATGAAACTCTCGAGGGATAGTATAATTCTCTCTGTGTTGCGTGGACGCTCGCTCTTATGTATTCTTTTAACATTTTGAAAATATAAACTTACAAAGTGCATGTTCGATGCAATTGGCTGTTGTTACGGAACACAAACAAACAATATTCCCATCTCCGGTGTTCCGCTAGTTCATCGTACCACGTTTCCCGTGGATGACGCCGGATTGATATCTACGGTTGAGTTGTGGTAACGAACCGAAATGTCAAAATCGTCTTTTTTCATTCGAGATGAACCCACCAGGTCCTCCGACTATTTTCGTGGATTTATCATCTCCGCGGTGGTCAACCCCAAGACCGCTCAAGGTTTTTCTAATTAAATCTGGGTATTCTTCCTAGGGCCGATATTATTGCATGTTGGGTTTTCCCTTAATTGATTTTTGAATAACTCAATTATGCCGGCTACTATCCTCCTGATGGCGTAGCTAAGGAGACTCAATTCTATCAAAATTATCCTCAAAGTATAGCCACATATGTTCCTCATGAATCGTATTGATGCTAACCCCGGCGACGGAGTTTCTGAACCCCTGCCTTTTCTTTTCAAATGACAATTCCCATAATATGCATAACTGCTTAAAATTTGAACCTCTAAGAAGATCGCAGCATTCTCATTTCGTGCCTCTAAACTCCCTTTTCCGCGGACCGAGGAGGGGCTGACCTGGGACTCGAACATCACGGGGTTAGTACGGGGAGGCACGGAGGAAAGAGTTCAGGTAGTGATTAGCGAAGTGCCAGCTAGGAATTAAAATGTCTACCAATCTCGCATTAGCTTAAAATAATGAGACATGTTGGCTGTAATCCTACCTCTAAAAACCATCCTATTACTCATCGACTGGACCTGGGCGACCCGCCAAGTTGGCCCAGTTCTAGATGGGACATTTTACGTAATTGGCCGTGACTCTAGATGCTTCTAATATTTAAAACCCATTCAGCACCAGTGAAAAGTCATACGATGTAGGCAAATGCCGCAATTTATAGAGAACTATCCGTCCATGTGTATATCCGTGTGGGGGTATCGGAGGACTAAGGAGTGGCAAAACATCGACCGAACCCGCGACACACTCAAATTCCGGCTTAACGAAGCCCGCCCACGCCGCTATCCAAAACACTAGGCCTTATTCCCCAGAACATGAAAAAGCGCCCCTCCATGTTA